GCTCGAAAAAGTAGGCGAACGGTTGTCGAGTGTGGTAGGCGGGGTCCGCCACGCCTACTTTCCTGGGCTCACGGTATCTCAGTTACAGAGATTCTCTTTTGATGGACCTGTGATACGAACACTAAGGTAGGTGAAACTTCTAACAACTCTCAAGGGCTACCCAACGGGGTTTATCTCATCCCTCTTTACTGGGCAGTTGGATCTCACTTAGACATTATGTTTTGTCCGGTGGAGGGGGTTCCCTGCACGCTTAGTGATTCTGTTGAGACCACCCGGTTTACGACGCCGACGTGTTTTCCACTTAGGGTGTTACTCGCCTGTGGTACTTGGATGCGTTCCGTGACGCTGTTGTGATGAGCTTCCTTCCAAGCGGTACTAAAGAAACACTGACGACGACCTTGTTCAGAATAAGCGCATATAGTGGTGCCACTGGTAGCTCTTCAAATCCCCTCAGAGGCCGCACAGTGTGAGGCGGCGTAGATTTCTCCTGAGCCATATGACCACCGTAGATGAGGTTTCGCGTTAGCTCTATGATCAAATGTCAGTGAATCATACAAATGAGCAGTTCGTGAGTACAACCCATTCCATGAGCGGCGAACTACGAATGGGATTTGCGTTCTTCAATTCTTGGCACCCCGTTCGTAGACAAACGCGTCGCAAATGTAACACAGCACAAGCTTTTCATGACCGAAAGATACTGGTAGTTCAGGTTGTAGCGTTAGTCATTGGTCTGTTCGCTGAGCTGGACAACTCTGTTGGGGATGTTTCGTTACCAGGAGAGGTTGCGTCATCGGCCCGCTAAGTCCACTGAAACCAAAAACGAAATTCTGTTTGTCTCTTAATCGGGAATGGAAAAGACAGGATCAACCCCTCGGGAGAGCATTGAAGGGTCAACAGGCCGTCTAGACGGGAATTCTTCATTGCTTGGCAGAATCACATGTTGGTATTCGTTAGGAGCCTTAACATAAAAGTAGTCACTGATTAGCGTCCCAAGGTGCTAACAAGTCTCCGGTGAATAGTTCTCAAACTAAATGGTAGGGTGGAGGGCGCACGATGTGATCCGCTTGAAAGTTCAACTCAAGGCCTGTGGTTAGCTTTGGTGAACAGTTTATGTAAACCACAAGATTGGTAGCCTCCCTGTTGTCAACATGAAAACGGGAAGGGCCTATGGGACTAGAATCCCCGGCCCCTGTCTTACTGGGTGTGTTGTACCAACTAAGCTATAGTGGACGCCGTCCACCGCATCCGTACACATGAACTACACTTGGGTTCTCCACAACCCTGCCAGTGTTGTTAGCTGTGTTGTTGACTGCCACAATATCTCAGGCGCTGAAAACACCCGCATAACGGGAAAGAGATATTGGACTGATAGGAAGACAAGGGGTGTGGCTAATTTTTAATTTGGACTCCGAATGCGAACGAGAAGACAGATTCCCTTGGAGAGATGGATGCTTCGCTTATGATACGCATGCTACTGATCGTGTCAAATGATAGTGGAAAAAATCAATTCAACGTGAGTTGACTTGAATTCTTCGGAGCTTCGAAGCTATATTAGAGGTTGCAGAACACTGCAGTCCTACCGAGTGGGGGAAAACTCTTTCTCCTTGTGGAGTGAAATCCCAATTTCCAACTGAGTTTTTTCGCGGATGCCAGCAAAAAGTTTTCGCTTTTCCCTTGGGTCCTGAATTGCTGCTCTCAAATGTCTAACTACTTGAGCATTTCGTCCGGGAAGCAGTGCCTCGGTCTCTCGTCCTGAACGTGATAACCACCCCCCTTGTTATCTGGCAACTCGGTACGCTTGTGACAAATTCAGCATGACCAGTTCTTTTAAGACGCTTCTAAAAATTCACCAGAGGACGCTAAATGCAGTGTTCGTTTGCTGAGAAAACCACGCGTCTATGTGGATGAGGGGACAGTCATGCACATGAACTCAAAATGGAGAGGCTATGTTGCACTACCGTTTGCTGATTCGCCAATCTGTGGTATCTGCAACTGACCCGCTCCAGTGCCGAAAAAAAAACAACAAGCAAGTGAGTGCGTGCGTGCGAGAACAAGTTACAACGGCCCACGCTATTTAAAGGGGACTTTCTGACATTGATCCAGGCTGTTTGTTAGTCGTTATTTAACACCTATCAACATCGATCGTGCCTCTATGAAATGCCCGAACTCTGATCACATTCGGTCGTGCTTCTGTGGCGTGCATGAACACTCATTGGCTTTTACTGAATTGATTGGAAAGCTCACTGGCCTAGATGCTTGCCGGCTTTCCGATTGAGATTTTGGTGGAGTTTTAGGGTCTCTGTAGGTTCCGGGAGGTCTGAGGTTACTTTCAGGAATCTGACCTTCCTGATACCATTCTATGTTAATCATGTAAGAAAATAAAATGTTCAGAGGGTTCACTCAAATAAAAATATTAATTCAGAGGTAATACCCTCGAGCAGCACAGCTGTCATGCTACCTGAAAGAAACGTAAGTGCTGTGACACTGCCAGTTTACCCAGGCATAGGCAGCAGCGGACGAAATGGCAACCTCTACTGTGTCATTGTGTAAACAAAGTTATATAGCAGCGACATCAAAGTGTACAACACCGTTCCCTGTTTTCATTCAGGAAAGGAAGAACCCTCCGAAAAACCTTTTGCCTTCCCTCAAAGAAAAAGTGGTATAACGTCTGTGCAGAATCAGTTTTTAAACCAGTGTGACTTCGTCCCTGCCTTCCTAGGGGTAGGCCGAAGGCTTCACAGGAACAATTCCTTTTCCCGGATAAAAGTTGACGAGTATTCCCGTCTTGTCCCCACTAATGACTACAGTACGGTAGCCAAAAATTAAGGCTGTTTTCATCATTGCTGTGCATAACTTCCTTGTTGAATTATGGGCAGCATCCCTCGCCGAGAGGAAGTTAAGCCCGTTTATGTATTTGCTTATTTTCCACACCTACCGATTCAGTGCACCTAAATTGATCTTGCGTTTTAGTTCTGACTCACTTTGTCTCCTACTCGAATAGTTACGCCAAATAAGCAAAAACGCCGTAAAATTGTAAATGTGTGCTTGTTTCTTATATGTTGAAATGTTACTATAACTGACTAAGGCACGTTTAAAGTGAATGCATGACAATCAGTGATAAGCAAGGGAAGTCCACATGTGAGACTAAAATTGATGGATGGTTGATTGTCAGTGCTCAGCTGGCGAAACCTCAAGTTTCATTGACGCCTTCGTAATATTTTCCAGCCATGACAATTTTGAAAGCCACCAGGCCATCGATTACATACAACGCAAGTGCCAGGAACATGAAAACCTGAAAATCAGAAAGGTAGGAATATCCTGTTGTATATGCATACAAAAAAAACTTCTCTATGACAAACCTTGATGATCAGCAGCTTTTGACCTCATTTAATGGTGGTAATGGCTAGCGATATGGTCGAAACACAGTGGCTGTCAGTTGTCTTTTTACTTTGGACAGGCGAGCAACCATTGAGCGACAAATTAAGTCTCATAATAATATAAAATATTGATGGTTTTCCTGAAACGCCCTATCGGTGCCTAGCAGCCATGTCACTCGAAGGAAGTACGAGGATTGAGATACTACCAGGTTGCTCAAGCCTAGGTAGGCGCAGTCGAGGTGCACAGATTGGGTCCAAGCCATGGACCTTGCTGCCAGTAACTTCGCTCATTAACCACTGAGCTATCTCATCTCATGTAAATAAGCCATATCCGTAAAATACAATGAGCTGGCACGAATGGAAAACATCTCACAAAATACATTTGAGAAGTCGCCTCGTGATTAGCCTAACAGCAAAATATCACAGAGTGTATCGCGTAAGTAAGTGATCAGCGTGCTGGTTAAGTGTAAACAAATCACTCTACCAGTCAGTCTGTCGAGGATAAGTGATAGTGTTCAGACTTTATTTGAAATGATGTGGATTTAAATCTTCATAAATATTCTTGACAAAACGACTGCTGATAGCTCCAAAAGTGGTGCTTGATAAATCACTTTGTCATCTTGCCAAGCTTTTACCAACATTCCGGACGTAATTAACATGGACGTGCTTAAACTACAGCTGCCGATGTCACGCTAGAGTGGATCCGCAGCTTTTCTGTGTATTGCTGATTCACTGTTAGGTTTGATGAACCCTCCTTCAACTAACACAACAAGCAGCGTATCCCTAACTGTTCCAGATCCTTCAAACCAGTCTTTAGAGTGTGTTCACTATTAAACATCGTATACATACTATTAAATTCAAGTTGCGCCCAAATTTTCTTTTCGTTGCTTGAAGACCAACCACTATTTCAATCGGCCCTTAATCGGTCATCCGAGTAATCGAAAAAGTGGGGAATGCCAAATAACTAAAGAAAGTTATCGGCCCTGCCTGCTAGCCATCAGAAATCTACCACATCGGTCATCCTTTGCCGAAGTGTTTCCTGCTGAAAAAAGTTTTGTCACTATTTTCTTCGACCTGAAGTGGCCGAGACATTTTAAGGTAAGTAGGCGCAGCACCCATAGTAACGTCAACGATGAGATCCTCCTCTTGATTGACTCTTGTTCTCTGTCAACTATGGCTTTTGCACACGCCAAACAAATTCTTGTGTATGGTCCTACCACATCCCTCTCTGTAAGAACGCAAGACAAATAACTAGAAATTTTTCCAAGCATTTCTCATCCCACAGTTTTGCTGAAGTCTCTGGAGTGCGGACGTGACCAAGATATCTAATCTAGATCAATATGATTCTGACAGGCACGTTAATGGAAAACTGGAATGCATCTGCCAGTTGGACAAAGCATCAGTATTTCGGCATACGACTCGAAGTTGTTCTGTTCAAGACGATAACCACTGCATTCCCCTGCTACATTATCTACTTGAAGAGTAAATAAACTTCCGGGATTTATTATTGGATTTTCCAGAGAGATATATCAATAATTGTTTTCTTAGACGCATGAAGATGTTTTCAAGACCAGGCAGAAAGGATCTACTCGGACGGCTCTTTGAAGTTTGATTCTGCTCCACAAATAACAAGATGAAAAAACAGCCCTTTTCTTCTGACCGATTGATTAACTCCACGTCTTTCTGGGAAAAAAATAATTGCTGGATACTTTGAGGCTGTTTTTCAGACCTGTTTTCTTGTTGAATATGTATGCGAGTGAAGTGAGCGCGCTTACTAGCAACATTTCCCGATCTGGCTGATTTGTGCGCAGAAATTACATTCCCAAGCGTTCTTTAGTCTTCCAAGAGGACACTCTCAAACTGAAACCAACCGTTAATGAGGCCGAGGGCCAACATATCCATCCTAGGCAGGATTAGTGTTGAGGTTCCCTATAAGGAATATTGAGTGACGCGTATCCCAAATATAGAAGGGTGGAATTGGGTTCGAAATCACACGGTACTATTTACACAGTGGTGAGCAATGTTGTCCACGTTCATACAGTCAACTATTGCACAAGTATGTCACTAACCGGCACAGTACAGTATCAACGTCCTCACACTAAACAAAGGCAAGCGGAATGTTGGTTCAGTAATTTGGGTTGCGGTCGTCCTTTCTGACGAGTCTCGTGATTCTCATTTGCTGCGCAATCACACGGATCTCATGAGAAAACATGTCAAGGTGGACTCACCAAACGATGCATGAATGTGCATTGATAAAATTAATCGGCTGCGTAAATTTGTACACAGACACGCGCTAATAAACAAGTGTCGGACGGGATGGTTTTTGCGGTGAGGTGAGTAAAGATTAGCGATACGAGTGGAGATTGAAATTCCATGGGCGAAGTAAGCAGTTAAATGGGGGAATAGTCATAAGATCAAATTTTATTCAATAATTAGACTATGATCCATTAAGCAGAAACACTCTTCTTGCCACGGAACGCAGTTTGGAGCCCCAGAATGCAGCCGAGTGCCAAGACCTACAGACCGCTGCCCATCAGCACACGTAGTTGATCCTTATGGGCTGTTCGACTTCATTTTCGCATTAGACGGAGGATTCACTACTGAGACTAATGGTTGCATTTGCACAATACGAAGCACCACCTACATCTAGAGCACTAATGATGAATGTGATAAAGTGGAGGAAATTCAGCAAAATGACACCCGGTTAAATCCGGAGCCACTAGAATCGTCGTAAATCAGCAAATATTTCGGCTTAGACATGTATTTCCTAGAGTACAGAAGAACACCTATGGACCTGACTGCTTATATTCAACGCCATTTGCAGTCGAAAAGTACTCTCCTCATACTCATTACTCATTATACTCACTAGTTTAGGCTAAAGAAACACGGAATTCGGAAAAGTCAGTCAGTCACTGCACCGATCGATAGCGTTGAGACGATCACGGTTGGAAAATTCAGAAAGGCAATACGCCGACATACATTGTACCACTCTCATGCGCAACGTACAATAAGAAGCCTGAAGTGTTGGCTGTTTTAAGAGGCATCCGGCTGAACTTCCGTTTATTTACCGATAAAACAAACTTACTGTCTGGGCAATTAAAACAGAATTCGTATGAGAATGTGCCGCTGAAAGAACCCCGCTTGAGAATATGAGGATGCAAACGATGAAGTCGGTGATAAATTCCTGAAACATGAAAGTACTTTCAAAAGGGATGCTTACTATAAGTGTCCAGGGGACGAGCAGGAATCGGTGAAGAAGGAATAGGTGGAATATCATAAACAAGAAGGACGTCATAAAAGTAACAATAGTGACTATAACTAGCCATGGTCCTCCTTTCGCTATGAGGCTATGAGCGGCGCAACTCATTGAAAATGCGATCAGCATGAATATCATTTCAGCTATTCTGATCACTGCTGGGAAAGTCTTGAAATACCCCTCGTAGTACTTCCACTTCTTTCTCAAAATCTTGGCGTCAGGTAGACCTTCAACATTCATCTCACCCCGTTTCGAGGCGTTGTACGAATTGATCATCGGTGACGGAGGAAAACTTCAAATCACGCACTACGGTACATGAACTCCAAAGATGGAAAGTCGAATGGTAAAACAAATTCCGGATCTAGTAGATGCGTACACCAGTAATGAACAGCGGGTCACTATTATTCGAAACTGCTCACATTACCCAGGCCGGTGGCTTTATGAGAAAACCAGCTGACCTCGTCCATTGACTTCAGTTCCCACAGCTGATGGATGCAAACGGTGCTCAGTATTCGCACAATGGAATTGAATTTTCGAAAGCAACACACCTACGTCTGGGATTGGATTGGGTAATTACCGTACCACTGGTCCATTTTCGATGAAATGTTTCGTGACGGATGTATGACCACTTTGGTCAGAGGAAAACGTTGAATAAGCAGGTGGCTAGTAAAACAGTGACGATTAAACTGTTCATTCCTAAATGACATTTTGTTGATAATAAAAAGTCCATAAAGTTTTCGGAAGTGAGGGGGCTTTAGAGTCGCAAACAAAGATATGATATCTCATCCACGGTCCCCAGGGAACTTATCCACACATAGTCTGGCTCCAAAATATAAACTACCATGCACTTTTTCGTCATGATTTAACGGTGGTTATTGACATTTTCACTAGGTCCACAGGAGCAGATTTACAGCGTCCTTCTTGTACTAGCTTTACTGGGCCGTTCAGTTCATCTGCCGCTCCTCTCTGGCGTCTCTGATACAGTCATGGAAACATAATCCTATCAGCCCCTGGATACAGTAGGCATGTTAAATCGAAGATCACCATTCAAGTTAATATGACGCCAGTTAGTTTCCTTCGCAGTTCTTCACTAATCGGTTATAAGAAGACAAACAGACTGAATCAAGCGACTTTTGTTAGTGCTTACACTTGATCAGTAATAACAAATTACGGGCAGGATTGAAATTTACCCAAACACGCTCAGAGAGGCCGCGAACGGTTTATTTCATGCTGTGTATGTTAGTCGCGTAACCTGTTGACAACTATCTTTTAGCTTTCCATGGGTCAATAGTCGGCTGATGGAGAACTCAAAGAGCCGAGCAAAATATGTTTTCCATCGCAAGCACGAGCGATGCAAGGAAACTCGTTAAGGAACAGTATGCCATTAACGTATACTAATTGAATATGTTTCGAAAGCGTGTATGTTGAGTTTACCTCGTTACCTATGATTGTGTTTTGTTGCGCTGTCTGGGCTACGTGGAGGCCGTTCTCTAAATCTCGGGAAGAATAAATATCTCATGTGTAAGATGTATCTATCTTGTTTAAGGATAGCAGGGTCCATGAAATAGACTGAGACATGCTGGAGCCCCAGCAATTTCATTCAATTCTTCAAGGGTGTCGCAAAATAAAAAAACTGTTGTCGAGACAAAATGCATGCTCACAAGAGGGCTGGACAACGATTTTCACTTGAGACATTATTTTTTGTCTTCTCTTGTGACGAAAATCCGTCCAAGATTACTTATCGAGCTTTGAATTGCAAGGGGGCTGATTAGCGTATCAACCGTGAACAATCAAACACCTTGGGGACATGCACTCTGATGTATGAGAAAACCATGTCTGTTGGTTCCGTGCAGGTGGTGACGGCGCTCGAAGTGAAACAGACCAAACTTCACGAGAGAAGTTTCATAATCAGCTGATTTAAGGCGGGCAACCAGTTTCGTGGAGGCTCGCTGGACATGCTCAATGAGTATCACGTCGTTCTTGCGTCATGGGTGGGTCATCTGATTTCCATTTCCAAAAAAGCGTTCTGACGTGGGCCTCATGGAATACCGGGAGTCCATGCAAGTGATACGGAGAAAGGTGTGCCGAATCATCCGTAAGACGATGAATGCCTTTCGAGCTGATTTTTTATGGTGCTGTGAGAAGAACATTTTTAGGGTGAGCCGGATACCTAAACCTCTTTGCATCTATCTTTGCAGTGCCTACTGGGCTGTTCTTAACACCACGAAAAAGTCGTTCGCTAAGTTTCTTTTGAACGACTTTGGAACGCACGTATTTTCGTTCAGAGGAAGTTTCCAATCGTGTGACTGCTCTGCAGCGTTTATATCTTTTTGAAGATAACTAATGTTTGGTCTCCGGGATTTCAATTCTTTCGCAAAAATAGACATTGACTTGGAAAATCATGTGGAAGAGGCTTGACGTAGACCAGAAACAGGGTGGCCCCAATACCCAGTTTTGCTGGACTCCAACAAAAAGCAGTGCCGAAGAAAAGTGAGTCGAACCAAATTTTACTCGGAATGTTCTATTTGATAAAATATCCTAATCTAGTTTAAACGTTATACTCCAGATCCCCGGTGGGACAAAGGACAGTGTTACTCGTTCAAGTGCTTTTGAAAGTAAAAAATATGCCATCCGATATGAGTCTTTTTTCTTCGCTTGGGTTATTCCATAAGTCAAAAACCGTTTAGGAAGCATTAGTTTTACGACGGGGATATTGGGCCATTGGTACTGAGGTGAATTAAGATGTTCCACTTCAGAATGCATTTCATCACCTTGCACGGTATGTCAGTGGGTCTAATTGACCCCATATTTGTAGATTAGAGTGACACTCGCTTGCTTCCGAGCGGAGGGAAGTTTGTCTTTGTCGAACAACTGGCAAATCATGAAGCGTAATTAATTTTCCAATGTGAACATTGTTATCAGCGCAAGTAATGTGGATTACCACACAATCCCAAAAGCACGATAAGCGAGTTATCGTCTTGAAGTTGTTTTCAAGTTGCCTCTTAGTATGACGTCAACGCATCTCATGTTTTAACGTTGAAAGTTGTTAAGCAGCAGCTAATTAGCCAGATGGTTAATTAATTAATTTCAGCTTAAAATGTTATGCCGCGGTGGCCCTAGACTGAAATAGCACGAAGTCACGGATACTTACTGTATATTTACGGTCACTACTTGGGGCAGCTTGGCTGACAGCCAACCCAGTCGATCGACTAAAACGCGGCTGAGTTGCCACGATAGACAGATTTTTATGTGTTTGACTGCGCAGGCCATATTGCGAACGCCAATAGCGACAAATAATGGAAAAGCTCAAATCACCCACCGTAGACTAAGTTGATTGAATAACTATGCCATACCGTCACTTTTTTAGCCATCAACAATGGTGAATTGCAAATTCAGTATAGTTTATATCGCTGTGTCTAAAAGAATTTAGCTGTTGTTGACCAGTCTTTTTGGAATTCAGTCGAAATAAGTGGACAAGAACCGTTCTAAAGTTGCTATAAACCCTGCGATAGATTTCATCTGACCGGCTTTTTCCATGAAAACCCAAAGGATATCGGTGGTATTTCTCAAAGTTTTGCCAATATATCGACGACAGTTCCGTAGGTATTTTGGCTGTTTATTCAGCAGCTACGTTTAGCTTGGCTGATCAGAAATCAACGAAACTTTTAACACTTGTCACACAGTCACAGTCTTAGAACACAAACGCTGAAACGCTGGAATCAGCCGTGGGAGCATTGATCTGCGTTCACACTCTGGTTGTGTAAGATCACTGCAGTAGAAAGTGCAAAGTAGCACACGCGGTACACATTAAAAACTAATAATAGGATTATTGAGAACAACCGTGTTTTTGGCCACATACATAAAAGTTTACCTTTTTTACATGTGCTCAGGTGATATGTCTCTCAGAACTTACCACATGCGTTATCCTGTTCTCTTCTATTAAAAACTGCATGCTTCCATGCTCCAAATTATTTGTTTGCCTTTCATTTAGACGGTTGGCAAGTTCTAGCCTATGACCTTGAGGTAGTACACTGAAGAAAAATTACGTGTGCACTGATTTAGCAGACCGTAACGACCGTTTTGATTTCTTGAGCAACGAGCAACAAAGTTAACAACCTAACGGGAAAGCTCCTAATGAATGGTTAGGCAACTGTGCTGTATTCTGATAATAAATTTAGTTTCATTGATACACAGTTACAAAGCTCAGTGGTTTTTGCTATACGGGGAGGCACCCCAAAAAGCAAGCAAAGCCGATATGAATCGACAGTCAACGCCCAATCAAAACCGGGCCGCAGACTGCTGCATTAAATCAAATTTATAGCTGACCAAGGTTTTGGTACAAATTTTGTGTGACAGAAACGGTAAAGCCGATTTTCGTGGCAAGAAAAATGGAAAATACAAATGTCATTGTCAAACTAAATGAAGTTGAAGTATACCAGAAATATAAAGGGCGGTCCATTTGAATCGTTAGCCAGGAAGACAGTTATTCAAAGATCGGTGACGATCATAAAGTTGCAACACAGACTTCTCGCATTTCCGTTGTTTTTCAAGTCAAGCACTGAGCAAGCCTTTTCCAGGCCAAAACTATATAGTTCTACTGCCATTTTTCACTGCGGATAAGATCCGAGATAAAAGCCTAGCTATGCGGACTAGATGGAAGATGGAAACGAATGCGGGTGGAGGGACTCATTATCATCCATACGACGGTCGAAGCTGGTTTCGGGAAATTCCTGGTCCGTTATGTAAGGAGCGGCACAGATATGATTTAAGTGTGTGGGAAAAAGACGGGTATTTATGCAAGGGTCCACAGCAGCGAGCAAGCAGTTTAAATGGGCGGCCTGGGTTTATCGACTTCAGCACGTGGGTCCGGAAAAGAGATGGTCGATGGCCTAGTGTAAGTGTGAATTTTTTCGCACAAAGTTTTGGCCGGGGCATCTTTTTCTAAGGTGACGTCACAAAAGACGAAAAAATCCGTTGGTCTCAGCTGATGATGACAACCGCTTTGAGTTGCCTTTCAGGAACACGTGGAATGTCCAATTGAGGCAGCCGTAGTACCCGAGTGTGCAACAATTAATTTGGTCCAGTCGTTCTGGGCAGCAGAGGTGGAGAAAAACTGGATTACCCCATTTACGCCTCGCTGCACATTTTAAAAATCTGACCCGATCAGATACAACCGAGTTCTGTGCTTGACTCGAATATGTGAACAAAGGTGAGGTAGGAGTGAAGTACTGTTTCCGGATACTGTATGGGACACAAAATGAAAAACAATGGCATAATAAACGGCCTAAATTCAGTGCCCTGTTGAAAGAGATATGGCACATCTATGGCATAGAGAGGTATGCATGGACTGGGAATATACCACTGTGGTCCACCAGGGAAAGAGCTTGGTTAATATCCCGCTTAGATTGAAGTATTACCAAGTACGGTTGATCTTTGCAGAAAGTAATGTGTGCACA